GAGCAGCCTTGCTGCCTTCGCTGATTATGCCTTGGAAGTCATGTGGCATCACTTCTGCCACACTCTCTTGGTTACAGACAAGTCACGAAGGCCAGCCCTGATTCAAGGGAAGGGAAATTAGAGGGCCCCTCTCAGTGAGGGGGGCCAAGGTTACATTGTGGGAGAGCAGGGACACTGGGAGATGCTGTTACGGCTGCTGGTGGGGAATGCATTCTGCCTCAGCCGGTGACAGGACCACTCTGGGGAGAGTAATGGAGCGGAAGAGCCCCGTAGGTCCAGGAAAGAGTCATTGTTTTGGAGCTTGTGGACTTAGGATTGGGGACTTACTCTAATGGCCAAGTGGAGGTGTTGTTGGTTAGCTGGTGATGAGGGAGGAGGAAATGACCAAGAATGGTGCAGCCTTGTCCTGGGAAGTGACAGAAGTTTTGTTCTTGGGCAGCGCCTGTGGTTCAAAGGAGTATGGCACCGGTCCTATATGCTGGAGGTGGCAGGTTCAAACCCAGCCCCGGCCAAAAACTGCAAAAAAAAAAAAAAAAAAAAAAAAGGAAGAAGTTTTGTTCTTAATCATGAGGTTATAGACAGCCCCAAGCTCTAGTTCCCAGGCTGCAATTCTGGCTTAGACCAGTCGATTGGGTTTTGGTTTTTAATGCGTCCATGTAAGTGGCATGTTCTTAGAGGGTGAGTTAGGCCGTGGTGTTTTTATCAGCATGACCCACCTGCCCCCTTCCTTTCTTTTTCCCTTCCCTTCTCCTTCCCTTTTCCTTTTCTTTCCCCCTCCAAACCCTTTTCCTTTCTTTTTCTTTCTGCCAGAGGCCAAGAGCAGCCTTTGACTTTACAACCTGAGGTGGACATTTCTACCACATGTCCATGGACATCTTCGATTCAGCATAACTAAAATGCATCCTTCTCCCAACTAGACTTCCTCCTCCCGAATCCTGCAGTTCATCTGGGGCTTCTCCTTCCATTCAGTCGCTTAAACTCGGATCATGGGGTTGTCTTTTTCTCATTTTCATTTCTTTGGTTCTCATCCTTTCTTGCCCCAGGCTCAGGCAACTTAACATATTTGCTTTATGTATAAACCAACAGAGGGAAGGATATAATCACAAGCATATTTTTTTAAAAAAGGCAATACATGCAAATGAATCTGATCATAAAAGGGTCCAGGGTAAGAATGAAGTTTCCCTCCCTGCCTCTTCCGTCCTCATTCATCTATTTTCCAGAGATATACACACACTCATATGTGCAGTGAATACTTGCTATACACACTGGTGCCCTTGTTACCCTAGGGACATGTACGTGTACACGCTCATGCTGTGTATTAATTTTGTGCACCACGTAACTGGAAGCACAGGATGGCTGAGACTCACGTGCTCTGGCCACCTACCTACCAGTATCGTGGGCAGGACTTTCCTTCCATGCTGTCAAGCCACTTCTTTCTTTTTTGCTGACTGCGTGTTTGATCAGCTGTTCCTCATGGGCATTTCAGATGTTTGTCGGCTTTCTGATAGACAGGGCCACGTGGAGTAGCCCATAGGGACTAATTCCTAGACGAGGACTTGCTCCATCTGTTCGTGTGCATGTGAAATTTTGAGATACGGCCAATTTCTCAGAGCTACCTTGGAGCACCTGTTTCTTCACTTTCTTTTCAACCCAGAGTGTCATCAAATTCTTGCTCTTTACTGATACTTTGCCATTTGGGGATGGAAGTTTGGACCTCCTTGAACAACAACATTTCTCTTTTATGACCCTGGGTATCTTTTCACATGTCCAGCAGCCATTTGAATTCCCTCTTTGTGCGATCTATTTATGTCCTTCTTCCACTTCTCTCTTCCACTGTCTGGGTTTAAATGTTCTTTTTAGGGTTAAACTTCGATGTGTTTTACTCTCCTGGTTTGCTGTGGTTCAGAGCAGCCAGTGCAGCTCTGTCGTTGATGGCGGATCTGTAGGCAAGAGTCCAGAGCCACTGCTGAGAAGATGAGGCACAAGTTTGAAGCCACCTCCTCTTCCAGATGGCAGTGATCAAAGGACTTGGTGACCCGGGGAACACTCTGGACGTCACGTAGCAGTGTTTAGATGTATTGATGACACAAACATTTACCAGGCTGGGGGGTGATTGGAACCACATGTGGTGGCTGTTAAACGCATCTGTGGACACAAACATGAATGGCTTTATTGGCACAGTTCTTGTTAGCTTTCTAGCTTTTAGCTAAAGGGCCATATGGTAAAGGTGCATTTTTTTCTGATTAAGTTTATTATTTCTTTTTTTCCTTTGTCAATATTTCCATTTAGAAAATGAGGCAAGATGCTCACTTTTTCTGTAAATTAGCTCTGCGGTCCAAATGTCCAGCCAAGTTTTCTTCTCCATGCTTGGACATGAATAAACAAACTTGAATGTTTTGGTCAAAACAGCCAATTCCTCCAAGTGCTGTTTTGCCATCCTCCCTAAAGGCCTGTGCTATAGTGCAACATTCTCAGCCCACATTAATAGGCGTTCTGTGATTTTTTTTTTCTTGAGACAGAGTCTCACTATGTCGCCCTTGGTAGAGTGCTGTGGCGTCACAGCTCATAGCAACCTCAAACTCTTGGGCTCAAGCAATTCTCTTGCCTCAGCCTCCCAAGTAGCTGGGATTACAGGCGCCCACCACAATGCCTGGCTATTTTTTTGTTGTTGTTGCAGTTGTCATTGGTGTTTAGCAGACCCTGGGGCCGGGTTCGAACCTGCCAGCCTTGGTGTATGTGGCTGGAGCACCACTGTACTACGGACCCTGAGCCTATGATTTTTTTTTTTAAGTGCCTGTTGTCACGTTAATTTTGAAAAGTCTGGATTAAATATGTTTCTTTACTATAGGACTTCTCAAAGCCTTTAATTTACCAGCAATTCCCTTGAATGTCTTCTGCAGATGTATCTGACCACACAGAGCACTGTTTCACATTTGTATGGGCTCTGGTTAAAATCTTACTCGAGCAATTAGCTCAAAACTCAAGGAAAAATCAGAAGACATCAATTGGTTTGCCCCTTGATTTCTCTGAATTAGGTCAAATAAGGACCCTTCAATGGAAGTAGGGTTATCAATTACTTGACTGCAATCAGATTTCTGAAGTAGAAGTGTTCCTGTGGTAGGATTGCAGATGAAGATTACTGATTACTTTCTCCAGGCTCACCATGATCTTAGCAAAAGTGTAAAAATTAGAGATAGAAGGTCATTTCTGATAACCTCTGGCTGTTCCTACTTGAGGTCAGATGCCACTTTCTCTGTCTGACTCATCCAAATCAAGCAGGTGGGGGAGGAGGGTATAATGCAAGGACCAGATAGAGCCAGCACTGGCTGAAGGCTGAACTGTGAAGTGAACTTACAGAGCTGAGTGTGGACCAAAGGAGGGTGAGCAAGCTCCTTATATCCAGCTCATTAATAGGGCGGCTTACTCTTTCCTTCTAACTATGTCCAAGATTGAGTTATTTCCCCTATCACTGGCCTTTTCTCTCTTCTGGAGGAATCTCATCTGTTTTTCTTTTTAGCCTTCTCCTTAAAATTTATGACGGTAGATCTCAACGTTGTTCTGGAACATTTGTGTCTGGGATATGCCACCTGTCATCTGTGAACTAAAGTCAGCTATTAAAAACACACGTGTGTGAATTACCATGAAATAGAATGGATCAAGATTACCCTATAAAATGTCTTTGTTACCTACTCCACGTAGATCTCCTTTCTGAGCGGAATGGAACGCGCTGGTCGCATTATTACAGGGCATATGAGTAGTGTTGTCGTTCCTTTTTCATTTTCCCTTTTGATAAAGTTGCACTTTAGTTGGAAAGATGCTGGGAACATTTTCATTTGTTATAACACAACCAGTATGATTACCTGAAGAATGACAACCAGTGACGTGGAGGAAAATGCCTGATAATGGTTTCGTGGTTTTTAAAAACCGCTGAGAAGATGTTTTGTTGATAAATAATCAAGTGAATTCGTTGCATTTTTTTTTAGTAGTCTACACTTATCCCTTTTCCAATATTATCTATATTTCCTAGGAAGCAGAAGTCCAGGAAAATGAGTCATTTTTAAAAAATGAAATACAACATTTTCAAAAGTATGATATCTTGATTATATTATTATCATATTGGAGTATTTAAGATCGGTATATTTAGGGCCAGTTGTGGTGGCTCACACCTATATCCTAGCACATTGGGAGGCCGAGACGGATGGATCACCTGAGCTCAGGAGTTGGAGACCAGCTGAGCAAGAGTGTCTCTACTAAAGATAGAAAACCTAGCTGGGGCACTACTTAGGAGGCTGAGGCAAGAGGATCGCTTGAGCCCAAGAGTTTGAAGTTGCTATGAGCCATGATGCCATGGCACTGTACCCATGGCAAAAAAGTGAGACTCTGTCACAAAAAAAAAAGAGATATTTTTATAATTCTTGTACATATTTTTTAATGTATTCCTGTCTCCAAATATAGTAGTGCCATGCTACTTGTTAACTTTTCTCTTCTGCCTGATGGGAAGGGATTATCAAAAGCTATTTCACCCACTCTGTGTATCACTTGGGAAGTCCATCTGTCATTCGTGCTCGTGGAGGACCTAAAGGCACAGGGTACTTCCTCAAGTTTTCTTCTTAATTCTGTAGCCTCCTTGAGAATTCATAGCAGCCGCATGCTTATGCCTTCATCAAGGCATTCCGATATTGAGCTGGGGACTCCTCCACCAGCTATGTTCTCCGTCTCTTCTGGGTTTGTAGATGGCCATTTTCCTGCAGTGCCTCTTCATGTTTCCTTGATCTCACTGTCCAAATTCCTTCTTTTTATAAGGCCATCAGTCCTGTGGGAGTAGGGTCTACTCTAAAGACCTCACTTTAGTTTGACTGTATCTACAGTGACCCTGCTTCAAATAAAGCCTCCTTTTGCAGATAAGGGGAGGAGATAGGACTTCTGGGGAGAACACAATTCAGCTCCTGACAACATGCTAATTTTCTACTTACCAGCTTTTTTCTGTTTCTTTCTTAAAGAGTGTACATGGCAAGTCAAGGCAAATGATCGAAAGTACCATGAACAACCTCATTTTATGAACACAAAGTTCTTCTGTATTAAGGAGAGCAAATATGCGGTAAGTTGATTTTAACTTTCCAAATTATTTTTATTTAAACCCAGTTTTGAGACCAGGCACAGTGGCTCATGCCTGTAATCTACCCCTCTGGGAAGCCAAGTTGGGTGAGCTGCTTGAGCTCAGGAGTTTGTGACCAGCTTGAGCAAGAACAAGACCCTGTCTCTAAAAAAAAAAAAAGTAGCTGGGCGTTGTGGTGGGCACCTGTCATCCCAGCTACTTGGGAAGCTGAGGCAAAAGGATCGCTTGAGCCCAATCGTTTGAGGTTGCTGTGAAAAATGACATCATGGCACTCTACCCAGGGGAACAGAGTGATCGCTGTCTCAAAAAACAAAAAAAAAATGGGCCAGGTGCTGTGGCTCACACCTGTAATCTAGCACTCCAGGAAGCTGAGTTGGGTGGATTGCCTGAATTTATCAGTTCAAGACCAGTCTGAGCAAGAGTGAGACCCTGTCTCTAAAAAATAGCTGGGCCTTGTGACAGGTACCTGTAGTCCCTACTACTTGGGAGGCTGAGGCAAGAGGATCACTTGAGCCCAAGAGTTTGAGGTTGCTGTAAGCTATGACATCATGGCACTCTATTGAGGGTAGCAAAGTGAGCCTCTGTCTCAAAACCAAACCCCAAAACCCCAGTTTATTCCAGTAGTGGGCATGTGTGCTAGCTTGATGCTACAGCTGCCTTCCCAGGTAATCACTACCCTGGGGCTATTGACGATCATTGTTATTTCTATAGAATGTCATTTTTATAAGTTTGCTCTCAGGGTGGGTGGGAATGACCTGAAACAAAACAAAACAGAATTATGTAAATAGGAAGTTTCCCTGTGTATGTGCAAATCTCATCAACAGGTTTTGGAACAGAATATCCGAGGATATCGCAGAAGCTTTACCTTCGAAAGTAATGAGTTTGAAAGGAATCTTAATAACTTATCTTCTCCTCCTTTGCCCAGGATGATTTTAGAGACTTTAAAGATATTTTCACTTAAAAAATGCTTGTTATCTTTGAAATATAACAAAGATCACCCAGTGCTTAGGGTTGTAAGGTGTCTGCTTTAGACTTCTCTGGCTGCCGTAATAAAGCCTTAAGGCACAGCTGGGTGGCGTGAGACCACAGAAATTTATTCTCTCACTATTGGGGGCTCTCGGCAGGATTGTTTCCTGCTGGAGGCTCTGAGGACGACGCTGTCCCATGCCTCTTCCTGTTTGGTGTCATCCCTTGGCGTTCTTTTGCTGGTAGGCACATCATTCCACTCTCAGCCTCCGTCTTCACAAGGAACTATTCTCTGTGCCCAACTTCCCTCCTCTTCTGAGGGCACTCGTCATTGGATTAGGGCCTGCCCTAGTCCTGTATGTATGCCTTCTTCTTGGGTACATCTACACAGGCCCTATTTCCAAATAAAATCTCACTCACAGGTGGGTTAGGACCTGAACATACCTTTTAGGGGACACAATTCAATCCGTGGTGGGGTCTTTCTTCCATAGTAGCCCCAATCCCTCCCTTACTGTGAGTAAAAATGTTCCTCTCTCTGCTTTGCCCACGTTGATGTCTGCGTGCTGTGAAGAGGCTCTCATGGATCATGGAATCCGACAGCAGGATTCATTTGGTCATGGTCTGACATCTGTATCTTGTTACTGTTTTGACATGAGACTCCAAGTAGTCATTTTAAGGCTCGTCTAGAATTAAAGAAATCTCAGTATCTCTCTGACTGGCAGATTGTATTCCTGTATCACTGTAGGCTGTGAGACTTAGTGATTTTTCTTTTTTTGCAGATGTGTATACACACTGGGATAAATGTACCGTGTCATTTAGAATGACTTTCTTTTATTTTCCCCTACAGAATAATGCAATTAAAACATATAAGTACAACGCTTTTACCTTTCTACCAATGAATTTGTTTGAGCAGTTTAAGAGAGCAGCCAATTTGTATTTCCTGGGCCTTCTTATCTTGCAGGTAATGCCCTTTGGTATCTTTAATCTGTTATGAATCATGTTGACGTAATAACATTTAAGTTGTAGATACATATCGTGAATAATCTTGAAAGTGTTTCACATGAAGGTTCCGTATGTGAGGCAACGGTATCTTGTACACAGAACTGGTTCAGTCTGTTAAATGAACAGGGAAAGGGAGCAAATGAAAATATTCTGATTTTTTTATTTTAAAAGTGGTATCACACTGATGTGTTAAAACTGGTATCCCTAAGTAGATAAAATTAAAATGTTCACTTTGTAAAATTCCTTATACCTTACAATTAAACTCATTTTTTTGTGCTCATCCTTTAATTTTATACTAAATGCCTAATTTCTGCCAAGAATTTTATCAATTCTTATTTATATTTTAGTCATAGATCTCCATAAATTATTTTTCATGAAATGGTTTCACATTAGAAAAGGCCTAGTTTTTCCTAAAGTTTTTTCTTAATTGTGGCAAAGAATTCACTTATCTGGAGAGCGTGATGTTTATCTGTATAGGAACTGTTGCTATAATCAAGGGACCACATACTCTCGTGCCTGGAAGCGACCTTGAGTACCTAGTGTGTGGGCTACAAGGGATAGCATACCCAAGTGACTTTATCAGAGTCTTTACATCAAACATTGGGTTTGGAAAATAGCACCACCTGCTGAGATTCACCCTGTGCGGTTTTATGAAAGTGGTAGCCTGTGTATCTGGGTGGGGATAGAGAATGTGTGGAAAGATGACAATGGGGAGAAATGGATATTCAACAGATTTAGTAAAATACAAGACCTGATAGTAAAGGATGTTCCTGTTATAAAGGTGGAGTTTTGCATATTCTTAGTATTGTGGGAAGAAGTGATTTTTCTCTTTTCCATTCACACCCCAGTGATCATCTCTTAAGGTGCAGCAATCCAAACCAGGGTAATAGTAATAGCCCTAGACAGCCATTTACATTACAGCCATTTGCATATTCACTTCATTCTTGTACTCTATGAGTTACATCCTGTCATACCCTCCATCTTACAGAGAACTAAAGGCTATTGAGCTAAAGTAACTTGCTTGGCCAGGTGCGTTGGTTCATGCCTGTAATCCTAACTCTCTGGGAAGCCAAGGTGGTAGATTGCCTGAGCTCAGGAGTTTAAGACTAGCTTCAGCAAGAGCAAGACCCTCATCTCTAAAAAAGAAAAAAATGCCCATCGATCCATGAATGGATCAATAAATTGTGGTATACGTACACCATGGAATACTATGCAGCCCTAAAGAAGGATGGAGACTTTTCCTCCTTCATGTTCACATTGATGGAGCTGGAAAATATTCTTCTTAGCAAAGTATCTCAAGAATGGAAGAAAAAGTATCCAGTGTACTCAGACCTACTATGAAACTAATTAATAGCTTTCATAGGAAAGCTATAACCCGATTATAGCCCAAGAATACGGGGGAAGGGGAGAAAGAGGGGAAGGGAGGGGGGATGATGGGTGGAGGGAGGGTGATTGGTGGGATCACATCTATGGTTTGTCTTTTAAGGGTACATGTTAATCTTTCTAAATGAAGAATATAAATGTCTTAGCACAATAACTAAGAAAGTGACATGAAGGTTATGTTAACCAGTTTGATGAGAATATTTCAAATTGTATGTAAAAATAGCACACTGTACCCCATGACAGTATCAATGTACACAGCTATGATCTAATTTAAAAAAATAAATAAAAAAGAAAAAAAATAGCTGGGCATTGTGGCGGGTGCCTGTAGTCCCAGCTACTTGGGAGGCTGAGGCAATAGGATCACTTGAGTCCAAGAATCTGAGATTGCTGTGAGCTATGATACTGTGGCACTCTACTGAGAGTGACAAAGTAAGACTCTGTCTCAAAAAATAATAAGAATAGGCTCGGCGCCTGTGGCTCAAGTGGCTAAGGCGCCAGCCACATACACCTAAGGTGGCGGGTTCGAATCCCCAGCCCAGGCCTGCCAAACAACAATGATGGCTGCAACCAAAAATTGGCCGGGCACTGTGGCGGGCGCCTGTAGTCCCAGCTACTTGGGAGGCGGAGGCAGGAGACTCGCTTGAGCCCAGGAGTTGGAGGTTGCTGTGAGCGTGATGCCATGGCACTCTACCCAGGGGGATAGCTTGAGGCTCCATCTCAAAAAAAAAAAAAAAATAATAATAATAAGAATAATAATAAAGTAACTTGCTTAAAGTTCCACAGCCCCTAGGTGGTAGAGCTCAGCCACGCCGATCCAGGAGTTGACCACCAAGTCCCATCATTTTAACAACTACATTATGTAGCCCAGTGATCAATAGGATAGTTACAAGAGATCTTTATTAAACTTGCTTCTCAGCTGGGTGCAGAGCCTCATACCTGTAATCCTAGCACTCCAGGAGCCTGAGGCAGGAGGATCCCTTGAGCTTAGGAGTTTGAGACCAGCCTGAGCAAGAGTGAAATTCTGTCTCTACTAAAAATAGAAAAATTAGCTGGGCATTGTAGCAGGCACCTATAGCCTCAGCTATCTGGAAGTCTTAGGAAGATTTGAGCCCCAAGTTTGAGGTTGTTGTGAGCTATGATGATGCCACAGCACTCTAGCCTGGGCACCAGGAGCTTGGTTGGGTACAGCAGGATATAGTGTTGGGTGATGATGGTGATGAGACTTAGAATTAGCAATCAGTTAGCTGTAAGCTCAATATGCCTTTATGTGCACCTATATAAGCCTTTTTCCCCCCTCTTAGGCAATTCCTCAAATCTCCACCCTTGCATGGTACACTACACTTGTGCCCCTGCTTCTGGTGCTGGGCGTCACTGCAATCAAAGACCTGGTGGACGATGTGGTAAGGGTTTCTCCTGCACCTTTCTACTCAGTTGGTGCATTGAGCTTATTTTAGTTTGGCATTCATACCTTATGTACTGAGATGATTCAAACAGCATTTCTCCATCTTCTTCTCAAGGCTCGCCATAAAATGGATAAGGAAATCAACAATAGGACGTGTGAAGTGATTAAGGATGGCAGGTATGGTGTCTTCTTTAAGTTATAACTTAGCTACAAGGATAAAAATGTATAGAAATGTATTTAGAGATAACTATTAGGACACAGAAGCCTAAGAATACATAAATTTTTTAATTGTAAAGGCTCCTTTTAACTTACAAAGAACTGATACCCCAGCCCAACTTCTACACCTGCCCTTAACCCTACCCTGACCCTTACCCCTAACCCTAACACTCCTAACTCTAACCCTAACCTTAACTCTAATGCCTAACATAAAAAATAAAAGGAGAAGCAAAAAATCTCAGAATTTGCAAAGAATTGTATTCCCTTTGTGGTTCCAAGGCTGTACCCAGATTGGATTAGGAACTGTTGCCTGCTGAAGCTTTAGGTGTTATCACAAGCACTTCCAGTGTTACACGCCTCCTTCTGCCTCCTGAGCTCATCTGCATCAGTGCGTTGCTCCTGTGTCTTGACACCTTCACACAGGTTCTCCAGCTAACGTGATTCCTCCCTTCCCTCTGTCAGAGCATTTTGTTTTCATCATTTTTACAATGATATGAATTTCATTAAAATTCTTTGTGAAGGTGTCTCATCTTCTGTCCTAGTTTGTAAGTTTCTTAAGGACACTATCCTGCCTCTGACACGTAGGACGTTCTCAAAAAGTGTTTGTTAAATTAATGTAGTCGACTGCGACCAAAGTAACAGCTCAGTGATTTTTGAGCAAGAGCCTCAAGGCAGAACTGCAAATTCAAGTACTAAAAATAGTGACTAAGGCCCAAGTCAAAAGCTTTTTAGGAGGAAAATAACTTCAAGGAGGATCCCCTTGAGCTTAGGCATTTGAGATTTACAGCCACTGTGTCTAATTCAAATATAGACCACACTAGGCCATGAACATGTTTAGACAGCTTTCTCCCCTTGCAAATAAGGAGCTTTCTAAAATTTACCTTTCAAGCGTGTCAAAAGACAAAATTACAGCAATTTAAAGATCTTCGTTGACTTTATTTATGATTCTAGAATCCATCAGGCAGCATTTTATTCTATAAAATAGAATAAGTGTTGCAGTGAGCCCAGCAGAGGTTACTTTTATAGACAGACAGAAGGGCTGAAGAAGGCAAAAAACAAGGAACAAAAGCATATTAGTCATTTTAAGTTACTTTCCTTGTAAGATGGGAAGAAGAAAACAGAACAATAGAGAAATACCTGATCAGTTAACATCGGATTCCTTCAGATTATATTTTAGTTAACAATTAAAGCAGAGGGGACTTTATTATTATGACTGAAACCAATCCTGTTTGGGAAATTGGACTGTTCTTTCTCCTGACTTCTTAGAAGGCCAGTTACAACTCAGTTTCAGTTTGGTGACATGTAACTTCAGCATGGGCTACTGCATTTTGGTTTCTAGTCTGGTCTTTTGGGGCCAAATACAGAAGCGTAGTCCAAAGCAGTGGCCTTGCTGGGAGCACTGGCTCACAACTGTAATCCTAGCACTCTGGAAGGCTGGGGTGGGTGGTCTGCTCGAGCTCATGAGTTCAAGACCAGCCTGAGCAAAGCGAGAGCTTGTTTCTAAAAAAATAGCTGGACATTGTGGCAGGCACCTGTAGTCTCAGCTACTCGGGAAGCTGAGGCAAGTGAATCGCTTGAGCCCAGGAGTTTGAGGTTGCTGTGAACTATGACACCAAAGCACTCTACCCAGGGCGACAAGCGATTCTCTTGCCTCAGCCTCCCAAGTAGCTGGGAACTACAGGCTCCCACCACAACAACTGGCTATTTTTTTGTTGTTGTCTAGCAGGTCCAGGCTGGGTTTGAACCCTGGTGCATGTGGCCAGTGCCCTAACAGAGCTGACCTAAGGGCGCTGGGCCTCCAGGTCTATTTTTTTTATCCATACATGAATGGGAGATAGTAATATTAACCTAGTAGTTAAATGTCTGCCTCTAGAAAAATTAATTAGTTATAGTGGGCTTATCATGTCTGTTAGATCTTTCGTGTGTGGGAAAATCTTTAAAACAGAATACTATAGTTTAAAACTTTTTATCATGCTGATTTGTTAGAAATTTAAATGAGACCACGCGTATGGTGCATCTTACAAGGGTACATGTGAAATTTACTAAGTATAGAATATAAATGT